ATGACCGCCGTGGTGCTGCAGGTTGCACGCGTTCGGGAAGCTCTGCAGGCGACGACATGTTTTTTTCAAACGTTTCCGTTGTCGCGCTCGTTGCCGTCGTTGCTGTATGTAGTGTACTGTAGCCATTTTCGTGTTAAGCTGTTGGCCCCCTGCACCTCACGTTGTTCTCTCGTCGGCGTGCCGCGTAGCACAAACAAAAAAAAACGGCTTCGGCACTTGAAGCCTGTTGGGCGCGGCGCAGATGGATTGTGTGTCGACCTTTGTGCCACAACTCATCGTCTGAGTCAGCGACGACAAAAACTCGAACGGGACGACTGACTCACCCTGCTGGCAACCGCCGCTGCCGCCGCTTGGTCGCCACCGGCATGGGGCCCCGCGGAATGTTGTGCGCCGGGGGCGGCGTCGCCGTTGGTCCCTGCTTGCTCCTGCTGCTCCTGTTGTTCCTGCTGCTGCTGCTGGAGCATGGCTATCCTGAGCTGGTTTTTCTTCGCCTCCATCGCCTGCCAAGGCGCGCGACCAACCCACGGCGTGCATCGTACGCGTGCAAAGACAAAACAAGCGCGTCAAGGGGTTTTCCTTCTCAAATAAATGCGCATCACTGGGCGTTGGAGTAATTGTTTTTTTGGTAATTCAGGCAGCAGTGGAGATTTCACTTTTTTCTTAAGCACACTCAGCAGAAGCAGCAGCAGCAGAAGCAGAAACTATAAACAGCATAGTACCTGCAGCTGATGCTCTAGCCTTTGCTTGCAAACACACGCGTATCGCCAGAAAATTGTTGTGGGATAATTTTTTTTTTCGGCAACACAGGGAGCAGTGACGGCAGCAGCAGGAGCAGCAGCAGCAACCCATAGATAGCATAGTACCTGCAGCTGTTGCTCGAGCCTTTGCTTGCGCTTTCGTTCCCTCTCTTGCAGCAAGCGGCGCTCGAAGTTGCTCTCCCATTCAGCATCGGCGGCGCTCCATTCCTGATACGACAAGAAAGGGCAGACCCACAACGACAACAGCAACACAATCAAATAAGTGGATGGTCATCGGCGGAAAGGAACGGCTACAGGGGCAAGCAGATGCTAAAAAAACGACATTTTCGGGTGATGAGCACGACATCGGGAGAGAAAAAAAAACAAGACACAGAATAGCGTGGCATCCGCGACGCCACCATCAGCACGAGTGTATCGCTGCCAACAACAACAACAACAACAACAACAACAACAACAACAACAACAGCAGCAACTACCGAAACAACAGCAGTGAATACACAACAACAGCAGTGGTACAGCAAAAACAGCGGTGAGTACAGCAGCAACACCAACTAAGCAGTTGAACCGCCGCACTCGAATCACTCCGCCACCGCCACTACCACCACCACCAAAAGCCGCAGCTAAAAGGGGTGATCGACTCGCCTGTCTCGACTCGCAGCCGTCCACCAGCGCGCGCACGTGCCCCGCGACGCTCCTGCCAAACGCAGAGACAATCCCGCCCTGGATGCGGTAGCCTCCCTCGAGCACGGACACTAGCCGCCCCTCGCAACACCTGTTGTCGTTTTTTCGTTGGCGCTGTTGTTGCTCATGATATGATATGATGTCATGATGTCATGATCCGTCTCGCTGCTTTTGTCTATTGCCTCTGTGCCGTCATTGCCTGGTGTCTGTTGTTGACGTTGACTATGATGGTGGTGGTGGTGACGTCATGTGCATATGATGCCATCCATGGTCCGTTCTCGCTGCTTGTGTCTATTGTCTCTGCACCGTTGTTGCTATTTGTCGGTTGCCTGTTGTCTGTTGTTGATCATGGTGGTCATTCACATGTCTATCCCATCTGCTGCAATTGAATACAAGCATGCACACACACCCTTGTCGCGCGCGCGGGGGGGGGGGGGGGG